CTGTCTGTCTGTCTGTGGGGTGGTTGCACGAAAGCATACGTATGTGCATCTAGCGGACTGTATGTTTGATATCATATATTTACTGTGTGCGTTTGTGTGTGTGCGCAATTTACCTACACACTACTTTTAGTCACCTTGAAGGAAAACTTGGATTGAGGTGATTATTCTGCTCTTTGAAAGCAAAATTTGGGACAAAAGTGGAAAATCAATACATTTCAGCCATAAAAAGGAAGACAGGCTCTGATTACAGACCTCTGAATAACCGCCATACAAGAGAGACTATATTACCCTCCACCAGCATTTCCTGTCTTTCCATCCATTTTATCTTTCCTTTAGCTGCCAGACAGATATTATTTACATTTTATGACTTGTTAAAATGAAAAAAAAAAGCATCATTATTGTAACTTTTCCTAAAGGAGCCGCACTGCTTCCACATCCAGAGCCTGTGACCCGGCGATATGAAGTGAAAGAGATGCTGGTCGGGAGGTTACTCAGCAGTTTGTACATTCTGCATCTTACTGTTACAATGACGGTGGTGTGGGGTCAGTCTGCTGACTGGTGGGTGTTGTCATTAGTGAAAGAGTAAAAAAAACAAAAAAACAAGAGAGAGTGAGACAGAAGAGGAAGGAGAAGAGAGCAGGGCTGTCTGCACAGTCTTACAGCAGGAAGTCACTAACAGCATCCTCTCTCTGGCTTTCAAAGGCTTACCCCACTAATTACCTGACATGCTCTGCAAGCGTATGTTTGTGCGAGTGCGCGAGAGAGGGGCGAGTCGTTAGTAGCTGCCCTGCAGTTCAAAAAGAGTCCCAACACGCAGCTGCTAATATCTCCTGCTGTCACACATATACTAATACCAGACATACTCCAGGTCACACTGTAAGTTCTCACACCACTCTGAATATACAACATTATTTTACTAGCAAACACTCGTTGTGTAACGCTCACAGGCCATTTCTAATCTCCACCAGATGAGAATAAAAGTTTAATGAACTAGATCGCAGAACAACCCCTAATGTGAAAGATGTTCACCTGTCAGTCTAATCTTGACACACGTATGTACCACTGATAGTATGTGGTATGTACATACACCTCCTCAGGGAGGGCTCCAGTGTCAGGCAGTGCTGTCTCCATATGATTTAGGTTTGCATGCCTGTGTGTTATGTTGGCTGTCATATAAACTGTTTAATGGATTCAATAAAGCTCGCAGAGGTGTGGCTCTAAGCAGTTAGGCTGTGGGTGTATTTTTGTGTGTGATGACTGATCCTTTTGTTATTCTTATTTTTTTTCATATTAATCTTTATGGGTTTTTTTTACCTCATTGCACTGCGTTTTAGGCCAATTGTGTTTCTAGTGTATTACACGACCACGAAAAAACGGCTTCACTGGTGCAGCTGAGAGAGGTCAGTTTGGGCGTGTCAACCTCGCCCTTTCTATCTTTCTGGTGGCGTGTGTGTGTGTGTGTGTGATGCCCCTTGTCATATGAAACTGTGTGTTTGTGTGCTGTTTTTCTCACCGTATGAAGCTTGTCTTGCCAGTGGAGTACTGTCCAACCAGTAACACCATTGGCTTGTTGTCAAAGTCTGCATCCTCTAGAGCTGGAGAGTGGAACTCGTGGAACTTGTAGCTCTCCTCCAGCGGCAGGAGTTTGGTTTTGTAGAGCTTCTTAAGTCCTTCACTGACTGTCTGAAAGACTTCTGGCTCCTTCTTCCTCCTGTCGTCGGTTCCAAGCCAGCTGAACATGGTTGCTGGTTGCTTATTGTTACACTAGTAAAGCCTCCAATGAGTGTAACTGGTCAAAGATGCCTATTCTCGTTGCTGACTGACAGGTATATCCTGAAAAGTCTACAAATTTGTTATGTCCTTGAGGAATTAGATACTCCAAATTAAAACAGTTTCAAAAAGTCAGATGAAGCTCTAACCTAATTCAAACCTAATTTACTGACATATACAAACTAATGCACACTAAATGATATATTTTTCTGGAAAAATCACCTTAAAAGTCTGTTTTGGAAAACAAATTGCTGAAAATCAGCCTCAGGAAAAAAATATATAGATGAAATAAAGCCCGTCAGTCAGTCTGTCTGTCTGTGACTGTTGTTGTTACTGATAATACTGATGTCTGGTCTGATGTTAAATAAAATATATAAAGATTATATATGTTTTATCAGAATTTAAACCTTCAAATGTACTATCATCACCGAGTCCATAGATCCTGCCAAGTCCAGGCCACTTATGCTCCTGGACCAAAGAAACACTGCATTAAATGAAGTTGTTATTTGTTTGCCAATCTATTTCAGTAAACAAACACTGTCCAGAAAGGCCTAAATCACGCTGCTCATGCACAACATCCCGTTACCGCTATTCAATTTTCGTCCAAGGGCTAACTAGCAGAGGAATCCCAAAAATGATGCACCGACCTGCTGTCAGAGCGCAACCACCCTTATTGTTCAACCGCTCCCGCTCTTCAGCACACAAAACAACACAAAACCTCGTCGGGACAAACTAATATTTCTGCCGTTTTCGTGTCAAAAATAAAAAAAAAATACGAGTAGCCTGTTTTGCTAGAGCTACGGGGGTATTTTCTGTCAGAGCTCAGCGCTGAGTGTAGCAGCAGCTGATGTCCTGCAGCTCAATTTAAATGCCGAGTCGAAGGAAACCCGAGCCCGGCGGAAGTGCCCAACGACTGGCAGTCCGACCGCCGCGGTCCCGCCCAGTGATGCGGAGCTGAAGCTGAGAGGGACAACGCCATGATGGATGAGGAGAGGACGAGCTGCCGTTGGAGCACAGTGCGCCACCTAGAGGAAAATACATTAAGTTACACCAACAAACAGCAACTTGGTCCCAGTAGGGTAACTAACTAGTTAGGCTGCATTTACTCAAGTGCTTGTGCTGTAGTTTCCATTTTTAACAACTTTTTCCTACTAATTCACTATGAATTAAAATAGCAGTATAACAATAAAGGGCAAAAGGTTGTAGTTTTTACACATGACGGCTAGTTACCAGGTTACATAACGTTACAAAACATGGTTTAAAATAGTATACATAGCCTCACCTCAACTTGCTCCAACAGTAAAATGCTACTTAAACATTAATATATATTAATGTGATATATAATAACACTTAATGAAACGTTACACATTTTGCTGGATACAATGACTCCTGGTGGAGCTCCATATGAAAACCAATGTGGCTCTAAACATGCATTAACCAGATATTAACCATATCTAGTTAAACAAAAACAACTTCATTTAATGCAGTGTTTCTTTGGTCCAGAAACATAAGTGGCCTGGACTTGGCAGGACCTATGGACTCGATGATGATAGTACATTTGAAGGTTTAAATTCTGATAAAACATACAATGTTTGATAAAAGATACAATCTTTATATCTTTTTATTCATAGACATTACCAGAGACAAAGTCTTAAATAGCCTACAACTGTGCTGAATATAACATCAGACCAGACCTCAGTATTATCAATAACAACAATAGTCACCACCCATTCAGTGTGGCAGCATATGTTTTTGTAGGGTGTATGTATAGTGGTGATATAATGGGAGAAATATATATATTATATAACAATTACAGAAATTGAGATTTTCCAACTTTAAAACCTATGGCTAACAGGCAATTACAGTATCACTAATGAGTATACTTACCTATAGATGTCTATATCAGATACAAGGAATAAGGTAAGAGAGAAATTAATTTTCATATGAAATGTCCTTGCTCTTGCTTGAACAGAAAATGCCATGATCTGTGTTTGCAATATGACCAGCAGATGGCTCTATTCACCCTCGTATGAGAAAGTTAATCATAGTGCAGAACAAAGGTCGGTATGTATGGTAAGCATGTGGACTGCCTGAGAATATGTAAAAGCTGATAAGAGTATCAACCTCTAGTGAGAAAAAGAAAACACTGGTAAAATAACAGGTCTTAAAATCACAGCAGAACACAATAGTTACCAAGTTAATTTGTTTATTTTTGAATATGCAATAATTCTTGCAACATAAAAAACTGTGACAAATATATCACTGACTTCTTTCACATAGTAAAAATTTTGACAAAACATCAAACATATCACATAGTAAATAACCTGAGTTGTGTAAATACATGAATCTGAAACTAAAAGTACCTGTGGGGTTTCATAATTACCCTTTTGCTGTGGCTTTGGATGCATGCAAGTTACCAGTGTACAGGAAGAGGTTTTACAGTAATTTTGTGCCAAAAATTCCCAAAACCTGACCGTGCGGTAACTTCTGTGTGGATAAAATGTGTTATCAAAGCTTCCTTCATATAACATTTTGAGTAAACATGACTTTAAGCAAAGATAATTAAAAAGAGGAACATTAACAAAAGAGCACAATGATTTCCTCCATTATTACACAATGAAACATAATTCATGTAGCATTCTTATGAACATACGATTGTACCAAAGTGAAAGTATTTACTTTGCTTTAACCAGTAGCATCAGTAGCAAATAATGAAGTCTGACAACAGAGGCAAGACGAGGAAATATCCACACCTCTGAACATCTCAAACAGAAAACAAAGGCACAGATAATATTGACACATACTGCAGGTGAGGCAACTTCATTATTTATACAGTTTCTAGATTGAATAGAAAAAGTGCTATAGTTTTAACTTCATCATCACAAAAATGCACATCTTGTCCTTGAACATCAGTATTTCCCTCATATAATATATTCAGCAGTGGTGGATTATTACATAAAGTATGCTCTAGTCACTGACCGAGAAAATGAGGAATTATAACATTATGATTCTGCCACCAACATACCAATAAAAATACTGTCTCAACAAAAACAGTTTAAGTACTTCACCTGGAACTAAAACAGGAACAGAGTAGACCACAACCAAAACTACCCACAACTACTGCAACTATCAAGTAAACAGATATTTTTTTGTTAAAGTAGAAGGCAACACCAACATAAAGTTTCTTTATAGGACTTTTTAACTACTACTAAATCTCCAGAACTCACTAAAATCACAATCACAAAGATTGTGCAATCTGTCCACAATGTAATCTAATCTGGTATTTTTATGATAGTTCTGGAAAATGAAACCGGAGCAGTTCATTGGTGCTCTTTTGGCTTGAGATGTGACGCATTAGTGACCATGGAGTAATATGGTTTACATTTGTATCACACAGCGTTAATCAGGAAGAATCCTTTATCACAGGTTATCTTTTACAAGAAGTCTGACTTCATGTCGAGCATAAAACAATGATTAGACTGAGTTAGTCAGATACATCATAAATCAGGATAATAATGATAAAGCAGCAACATTCGTGTGTATAAAAGACCCTACTACAGTACTAAGTGCTCCTTCGAATTTAATATTATCACGTGTGATTTAAATAAAACTGATTTCGTACAATAATATTTCCATGATTTTTATTTCTATCATGATATTAAATTTAAGTGTACGGTCTAAGTGCAGAAGAACATTTTTCTGTAATAATGGGGTAAATATATTGATGAATATCATCTACTGGTCCATCGAGATTACCAAGTTCCATTTGGTCAAAATATCATCCACCTCCCACCCTCTTTCCCCACCTCTCTCCATCTCTTTCTGTGCCTCTGCCGCTTCCTCGGACCCTTGTCTGACATACACGTTTTCCAGCTTCAACTCTCCCTTCGTAGCATTCACTTCCTCCTCCTCCTCCTCCTCCTCTCCACACATCCTGTTCTCCCTCCCTTTCTTGCCCTGCATCAACCCTTCCTCCCCGCTGAACTCCATCCCCATCTCTGGCAACACTAGTTGCCTGGTCTCGGGATCCCAATCAATACAAATAGTTCCCTCCTCTTCCTCCTCCTCCTCTTCCTCTGTTCTGTCCGCGGTAGCCAGTCTCAGAACACCATAGTCATCTGGTAAGAAATCTGCCTGGTCAGCATGGGAGGTAGACATGCCTTTGATACTCTGAGAGGCATAAGCCGAAAGAAGAGGTGCTCCTTCGCTCTCGCTTTCTTCCTCCACACCTCCACCTATCTTTCCATCTCTTATCGCTCTCAACTTTCCATCCATCTCTTCCTCCATTCCTCCCTCCTTCTTTGTTTGTAGATTTAAAGGCACATGGAAGAGGCCAATTTGTGGGGTTTTGTTTATAAATAAACCAGGAAACTCTCTACCCTGCTTCTCTCCATCCTCCTCTCCTTTGGTTGCTCCCTGAAGAGACAGTAATGGCGTCTGCATGTGGGTCGGTGGAACAGAATTTACCTGTGAGAATGCCTGCGCCTGTATAAGTGTGCTCATCTCTGTCGGCATGTGTGTTTGTGAGCAGGTGTGGGTTGACTTCTGCGAAAGGTAGGACTTAGCATGAAGAGCGTGAACTCCAGTATGGTGACCATCCCCAACTCTCCAATCTTTCTTCTTGTAACTGTCTTCTGCTGCGCCTTTCAGGTGTATACCTTTCAGATCATTTCCATCTTCCCCACCATCATGCCTCCTCTCCTCTCTTTCTTCCTCTTCTCCTCGGACACTGATTGTAGGAGCTACGCCAACAACCCCATAGTCAACAGACTCATCATCCCAGGGTTCCTCAGGCTCTGGGGGTACTTCCCTCTGTGCCCTCTGTGGGGCATATCCTGGTGGTGGTTCTGCAAAGGGTCTGTCGTGCTTTGGGTAATTACGGTCTGATACGTTGCTTTCGAGGTCTGATGGCTGGATGATGGTGATGAGGGTGATGTTGAGATTCTCAGGGGGGGACATCAGAGGGGGCTGATGAAAAGGAGGTGGGTTCTGGAAGTTGAAGGAGTGTGGCATTAAAAGACTGACCTTTCGCTTTTGAAACCGTTTTGAAATAAACTTGACATGCTGAGAAGCCATGCGATGGTCATGTATTATTTATCACATACCAATTAGACACTAAAATTGATATTGCGAAAAAATTTAAGATGCAATTTTGCTAATTTTAATTACATTAAGGACAAAAATTAGACAGGAAGTAGAGTCATCGTGTGTAAAATGTGTGTGTTTGCATTACCAGTATATACGGGCTCTTCTCTTCTTTCCCCGTCAGGTAGTAATAGAGAACGTAGCCAACCACTAGCAGCATACACATGCACACGAGTGGAACAACAATACCCACAACCACCCTCCGTAGCTGGCCAATCACAGGGTCTGGAGGGAGATGGGAAACAGGAACATGTCACACACACTCACTTTTGTATAAAATCCAAAATGCTCTCACTTAGCTATTTTTCTTGATTGACACAGGAAATAAAAGATGTTTGAGGAACACACATCAATCTCTCTTTCACTTACGTATCAGGTTTAGTTACATTCCTTTCTACCTGTCAATCAGAGAGGGGAAATATTCACTCTCTCACACTAACACACATGCAATGTGGTTGTACCTGGAGGCGTGGTTATACAGTGCCATGCTGACGAATGACAATGGAGAGGGATTGAGATTAACCTTGCCATGGCAGAGAAGCAGTACTTAGTATCATATTCCATCAAGCGGTATTTGTATGGAACGGAGCCAATGGGGATATAGCTCTACAATACAAATACACACACACACAGATTAGTCAGTGTTATAGGAGAACTTAAGGTTTGCTTGATTTAACAACCCGTTTGTACCGGGAGGGTGGAACAAGCTAGGACTTTCATGTATTTTTACTCACCGTCTGTATGCGACGGGTATCGCGGATGGACAGGTTGTAAGTCATCTGGAAGTAGAGTGTTGCCATAGAAACCTCGGGGGTGTCATTGTTAGGCTGGTATCTCATTGGTCCCCTCAGACTGATGATGGCACTGTTGTCCTCTAATTCTACGGAAACCAGTGGAGGGCCAAAAGTAGCTATGGAGATAGACAAAAATATTTAGTTTTAGTACATTTTAAACATTTTAAGCCAAAATATTAATTCTAAGTTATCAAAAAGTTAAGCCAAAAGGTGGTATTTTCTCTTAAAGATTAAAAGTCAACTGTCTTTTTGTCCACCCTACACCTGTGTGTATTTCCCTTGTGTAGTTTTAACTTACTGTCCGAATGTGGATCGAATCTCTTGCGTGTAAAGGCCCATTTGGACGATGCTCTCCGACTCACAGCACGAACCCTGGCATAATAGCTTTGCGTCAGATCCCCTGTCTCATTGCTCAGATCGCACCATTTCCGCACTATTTCTGTACACCGACGCACGTCCCTCCAGCGCACCCGTTTTGTGCCCTCAACACTGTCACCGTAGCTGGGAGAGACAAGAGTAGGTCCACACAGATCAGAGGATGACTGACACTCGGACAATAAGAAAGGAGGGAGTGAACTTGAAAACATACACCTCTCCTTGTTTAATTCCCCTTCAAGCAAGAAACTTAAATTACATAGGCTGTTTCTTAGCTCTAGTTACATTTCTCTTTTGTTTCTTTTTGTCTGTAACTTCCTTTGAGACTTGCTGAAGAAAGGTGAATATATACAACAACTTCAACTTTAACCAGGTTAAGTCCAAGGTAGTTACAGTAGGACCAATGTGCTAAAAAAGAAAAAAAATATTTATAACTTAAAGACAATGACTTTGTTCCCAGGGACACTAAAAGAACATACTTTATTAATTCACTTTTTATTTAAACTCTAAAATCTTTACTTACATGGCATACTGCACTGTAAAGTGTGTGTCATCCAGTGTGCCATTTCCTGGGAGCCATTGCAGTACATTCCTCAGATTCAGAGAGGAGAAGATGACATTGACGGGGCTGGGAGGAGAGGAGGAGACTGAGAAGAACAAGAATAAAAAGTTGAGATTAAGAAAGATAAGTGACACACAATACAGACATGTGTTTATCATTAGAATTTCAATCAGTTTTCTGGTTACATATTGCAATCTGTCTGGGTGGTTAACTTCCTCTTATGGTTTCACAGTAGTTGTTAAAACCTCACTTGCTGTGGGATTGTCTGTTCATAAAATAATAAAATGTAAACAGAGTAAGTCATAATTTAACTCGTTTTAGTTCTCTATATACAGTGTATACAGTAATGTTTGTTCAGCTATTTCTGCATGGGACACAAATAATAAAAGTTAGTTTAATCTGGTTTACCCAGTTTTGTAAATTACAGACACGTGAACCTATGACAAATTAAACCAATTTTTTTATGTATGTACACACCCAAATGACAGGGCTGTGACCCATTCTTGAGCCGATCTTACAAAGGCCTACATAGTAACAGTTGCTATTTTGACACTTAAGTTTTTATTACTGTGTTATACAACTAAGGTCAGCCTGCACTGACTGACAGACACCATAAATTCATGTTTGCTATTGCTAACAATATTTGCATCATGATTCCAGTCCAGGTTGCAATGGGGATCATATTATAACAGCCTACTTTGGATACACATAATAAAAATAACTGGACAAACAGAGCTCCTGTGGTTTGGATAAATATTAAATCAGATCTGCTCTATAGTGAGATTTAACTCAGTAAATGATTGAACGAATATGCTCAACATTGACAACAATGACATTCAAAATACTGTGTAGTCAACCTTGCAGTCAGAGTTTTTACTACACACACAGAAGTAGCCTAATAAAACAATAATACACGCTTAATATAAAGTGAGCTTGTCACGGGAATAAGCCTAACGTTAAAATAAAAATATATAAGAGAAAGAACACAAAAAAACAAAAACAAGTAGCCTATAATACTACTCGTTATGTCAGTTGAATGCAGTCATACCTGAGCAGTGCAGAGCCCCCAGGTACAGAAAGAGTAACACTGTCCACATTTTTTCACAACATTTTCGGCAGCTTCTCGGCTCCCCACCTGCTCGGACAGTAGCTGCCGGCACTCCACACGATGAAAAAGAGTCAGCTAAAACAAACAGAAAGTAAAAACACAAACAAACTGCGAATTATGGCGGAGTGCTTGGGTATCAGCCGCCTATAACCGGTACCTCTGCGATTAAAAGAAGCCCTGCGACAGGTTTCCGTGAATGAGGAAGGAATGTGACCTCACTTGTTTGTGCACTTTACACCTGAGCAGCTGCGTGTGTGTGTGTGTGTGTGTACTACTAGCCATTGCAGGAAAATATATTCCTTCAAAAAGTGCCAAACCTATACTCTATCTTAGAATAACCCTACAAAATGTCCCTTATATTTTTGGTTTATTTATTATTGCTGAATCAACATTGTAGCATTTAAATGTACTTTATTTAGTGTAGTTTTATTTACAATTAACAGTTCAAAATATTTTACATGATCATATATTCTTTATATAGATATTATTTTCACATCATAATTTCGTTTTTATTTAATGTAATTCTGTTAATGTTGCTTTGAGTTTTCAGGATGAGTATTTGTTCAAGCTTTAGCTCCCTACCTTCCCTGCACAAGCTTTTTTTTTACAATGTTTTTGTAGATTATAGTCAGTTCTGAAATAAAGTAGCTTAATGGCTGTTGGAGAAACATCAAAATTGCCTTGTGAAAATTGTTCTCGGAGCTGTTCCAAGAAGCAGGTTATTGAGTTATCTGGATAACCTTGACACTCTTTTTTACATTTTTTTTACATCAGCAGCAAATGTTTCACTACTGACGGGTTTTAAGTTACACAGTAAACTTTTTTCTTTACTACACCTTAATTACAAATAATTTCACGGGAGTTCCTAAAATGAATTAAAACACGACTGATTAAACAACACCAACAAAAGGAAGAGCTTTTCATTAACACCGTCCATAGTGACATCTGGTGGACAACAAACATATGTCTCCATTTCACACAGCCTCTATTATGCCGAAGAGGTCACACTTCAGACAATATAGATTTTAAAAAGAAATGGCGACTGTAAGCAGTATGGAACAAATCTGTTCAAATAATCAATGATATGTTAAAACTATCAATAGCTTTTATTATTGAACGGCACAAGAGTGACCACAGCACGGCGACGAAATGAGGCGGAACTGTGCAGCTTGTGTCTGGGTGTGACTCCGGATTGTTTTTGCGGTTGCACGTCACTCGGCGCATTCATCCCGGTGCCTGTTAGCATGTAGCTCGTTGATGCCATTGTCAGTGAAGGGAGGAAGCTGGTAGATTTGTGTGATGGTTTGATATAAAAGTGGCACTTTTTTCATGCAAACATGGCGCTCTCGATGGAAACGCAGCTCCAGAGCATCTTTGAGGATGTTGTGGTAATTTTCATCTTTATTAACTGCGTTTAAAAGCTAACAGTAGTTAGCATTTCCGACACCGTTAGCCCTTAACATCCAATGTTCACTCCTAAACCTGCTGTGTTTGGCAAAAGATTAATCCTAAAAACATAGCTAAATAGGACTTGTTTCTAAATACAGTTACGCTGTAGCTAACTTTTATAATTTAAACTATTACTTTCATCGAAACAATCAGAGGTTGTAGACTTTCTGCATTGTGTCTACAAGTTCTTGACATTTATTAGCTAAATAGAAGTACTTGTGTGTCATTTATTGCAGCTTTTTAATGCACAGGTTTACACAAGAATGTTACTTTGGAAAACTAGTATTTATTTTCAAACCAAGAAAGTGCGAAATCTTTCACAGACAGTGTGAACTAATTGTGCATCTACCCAGTCATCATTTAACATCAGTGCCTTTAACTGTATGCATCAAAACCCCCAAAGTATTTTTTACTTGCTGGTTGACAGTGAGAAGCAGCATTGAGAGAGGGCAATAACACTAGATAAAGGAAGTCCCCCTACATCTGTGTTTGAATAATATATAATCATTACACTGCACTAGTGCTGGGTGGTATGACTGGGCCTTTACATAGGTTTGTACTGTCAGAAGTACATAGAATATAAAAACATTTTAATGCCACCATGTATACTATATACTGAAGGCTTTGACTACTATCAGGTTTTCTTGCCCCCACAAAATGATATGACAACATATGTAGGAATTACAATGCATCAAAAAGTTGCAGAATGTGAACAATTTAGTACAATTTAGTAAAACAGTTAAAACAACTTAGTTTTAACAGTAGTTAATAACATAAACACATGTTGGTTATTTATTACATTAAAAAAAAACTCAAAAATATATAAAATATGCAAACAACTCAGTTTTTTAAACACTATAAACTGACTCAAAGTTTTGTAACTATTCAAAGATATATTTCTGTAATGTTCTGTTGCACAAATCTAATTGTCACAAATTATTGTGTGCCATGGTGTTTTGACCTGTTAAAGAGGGTTAGTTGTGGCTTATTAATTGTTGTGTTATAAAGTTATAATGTTAGTAAGAAGGGAAGCCTGCGTAGATTGTAGGGTTCCCTTCTTAATACACACTACACAGCCTGCCACCGGCTATAGTGCTGCTTGCGGCTAAAACAATAATGCCGCCTATTAAAGAGTTACAGCAGTTATTGCTGCTATGAACCGGTATGGAGGTGAATGAAAATTCATATCACGTAGGAAATTACAACCGTTTTACATAATAATAAGTTAATCTTGTGTACTGCCCAGCACTGCACCTGCACTGCTGACAGGCATTCACCCTGAGAGAGCCACTGTTATCAAACATAAGGTGTTGTTCTGTAGCAAATTCTGACACCTGGCCTCTGTGTGTACTGATGGGACTGAGCAATGAGAATTGTTATTAATGAACTAACTATTATTAGGAAAGAAGTGGGATGTTGGTAGATGAAACTACAGTAGAAAGATAGAGAATCTTCTCAAATAACCTTTTTTCAATGTTACTTTTCTCATCCTTTCCTCAGAAAACTGAGATGATAGAAGAGGCCTTTGCTGGGTAAGATGGCTCCAAACACACACTCACGCATTCTGTTTACCGTACAAGTAAACTAAAATGAAAATCTGCAGGCTAAAATATCAGCTGTGTTGTGCTTTAGGATGTTTATGGACACTCCAGAGGATGAGAGGACTAAGCTGATCAGTTGTCTTGGAGCCTTCAGACAATACTGGGGAACACTACCACAGGTCTCTAAACACATAGAGGCAGACACACACTCACACAGATGATGATGAATGATTGGCTGGATGGGTTTTTAATTGCATCCATGTCTTCCTGCAGGAGTCTCATGAACAGTGTGTGCAGTGGATAGTGCGGTTTATACACAGCCAGCACAGTCCCAAAAGGATCTCCTTCCTCTATGACTGTCTAGCAATGGCTGTGGAGACCAGTCTGTTACCACCCAGGTACACACACACACACACACACAAACATAATGCATTCATTTACACTCTTGTTCTAATATTGTAAGATTATTTTAGGCAGCGCTTGCCTTAAGGTATAATTAGAATATATTAATTATCCTTATGATAATTCCACAATTTAAAGCCTTGATTTTAATTTATGATACATTAGTCCCATTAACATTAACATAGTTAATCTATTGTTATGTTACTCTTATCGATTATGTCTGTTATTTGTCCTAATCGTCGATCTAATGAATCTGTTTGTGTGTCTGAAGGATGGTGTGTGTAGCTCTGATAAGCTCAGACAGTTTGGAGTGGGAGAGAACTCAGCTGTGGGCATTGACCTTCAAACTGATTCGCAAGATCATTGGAGGGATGGACTACAAGGTCACACACACACACACACACACACATACATACACACACAAACACACAAGCACGTCAGCAATGCTTCTTATGATCACCTAACCCTTTAGAATAAAAAATCCTCTTGTAAGCTATGCATTATTGTTTTGAGTGTTGTTAGATCATCAGCCTTATCTTTGGTCTGCAGTGGTCATGTAGCTAAGGCAGCAGTCCTTGATAATATTTTGTACTGAAACCATCTAATGCTGGATGTTTTTTTAGTTTTTAGAATTCCATCAAATCCAAAATATACTGGCTCAATGCTTTTTTAAAGCATCTTAAATAAATACCACTATGAATTTTTCACTGCTTTTCTCATCTCTTCTCAACAGTTCAAATCTTCCATCATCAGATATATTTTTTATTTGAAGTGTGTGTGCGTGTTTCAGGGTGTTCGAGACTTTCTGAAAGCTGTGCTGGATAAAATTCAAACCATTCCTACCACCGTCAGCTCAGCTATAGTCCAACAGCTTCTCGCTGCTAGAGAGGTATTTTCCTGTCATTCACTTATTAAATGTTATTATTTGTGATTTATTTTATTTTTCAATCTGATGGGCTGTTTGAATAATTATCTGTAAGCATACCAAATCTATCATTTTTTGTTTTGTTTTTTCTTTGTGTGTATTCTAGGTAGTGGAGTATATCCTGGACAGAAATGCCTGCCTCCTGCCAGCTTACTTTGCCATCACAGAAATCATAAAAATGTATCCAGAGGGACAGCTGTCACACTGGGTATGTGTGGGTTTCATGTGTATCCAACAAATCGTTCTTTTTTTAAACATGTTTCTCTCCTGTCCATACCTGATTTCTCATGCCTTTATCTCTATTTCATCTCTGTCTGTAGCTTCTTGGCAGTTTGATTTCAGACTTTGTGGACAGTTTCAGACCCACAGCCAGAATCAACTCTATCTGTGGTAAGAGACATAAACACACCCACGCCGGAAGCTTGCTTTTCAAAGTTTTGTTGTTTGCTTCAATGAGAGCCATTCCTTTTTGGATCCAAAGTAGAAAATACACAGCACAACTATAAAGACACACAAGATTTCTGTTTCTATTTCTATAGAGCACCCTGTGGCTAACAGAACACTTGCGCATGTGCCACATTGCATGCCACATATTTATGACTTACAGTCGTAGGACATAATGCAACTAAGGTATGTGCAGTGTTTCTTTTTAGTCATTTCGTGTGTGAATGTGTGTGTCCACAGGTCGGTGCAGCTTGTTACCAGTAGTGAATAATAGCGGGGCCATCTGTAACTCCTGGAAATTAGACCCCACTACTCTCCGCTTCCCACTGAGAGGCATGCTGCCATTTGACAAGGTAACATATTAACATATATACACTACACACGCATTTACACACAGATACATAAAAGCAGTAACACAT